ACGTGGAGTAGTACTCTCGCTCGCCTCCATCTCCAACAACGCCATCGCCTGCACGAGGAATGCTCACCTTTGCTAGGAGAACCGGTACCAGAGTCTCCGGCCGCTCATCGACGCTACTCTTGGAATACGGATGCCCTACACACCTTCACCCGCAACGACCAGAGTCTGTTGTACCGCCTACGGTGTCCCGAAATTTTAAATGATTAGGGATTAACGCAAAGTACAAGACTTTGTAGAAGCTTATTTAACAGAATAAATGAATGTATAAAGGTCCCTAGCGCTAAGATTCGCTTAGGGCTAATAGATGTCATTTGTGTCTAAACAAGGGACGAAAAGACACAATGCACGACAACTCCTTTTGCATGAAAATGGATGACAATCATCATAGTCATCACACTCCGGGGGCAGCTTGTCGGATTGTTTTCTTGGGGAGCTGTCGTTGAGCCTCTCGCGACCACTGGAGTCGGCGATTGTATGTTTAAGGGCGATAGGCCACCAGGCCCGTAATGCCCGGCACCAGTTACACACACACACACAGTTAGCCCTTCATTATCATGGCTGTCGATGTTGAGCCTCTGGAGCTCGGGGACCTAGGCAGCATTTCTATCGACTTGGGGTCGGTGGCAAAGGTAATATAAGACTCCTTATGTGATCATCGTTCGCTTGCTCGAAAGAGCTCATTCCAATGTGAAGATCTCCTGGTACTGTCTTTAGGCACTACAACTGATTGCTGCTCACCAGAATGCAACGGCTGAGAAAGCAGCTGCAGCTTGGGGGGAAATCGGTAAGGATAATCAGAGACTAACTTCTTTTCTTGAAATTTTGCAATCTAGAATTGTTAAGGGAACTGATGAATTTCAGCTCGACGGTTGAGTTTACAGACTTGATACGTCAGTTGTAAAAGAGGCTAATTTCGGGAAGTCATAGAATTGCTGCGGGTAGATAGTGTGGGGATAGAACGTGGATCAACCGAATAGCAGCAGGATGACATGTCCAACTGGACTGATTCGAGAGTGTTGTGTTAGAGCAACTCCGAGCCCAGTTCGAGGAGAGGGGTGAAGCCACTGAGAAGATGAGTGCACAGCTGGCTGATGTGATTGAGCGATCAGATGCTATGGGTAAGGATGTGAATAAATAGTTAGTCATACCGCTAATTGAACTCACCACCTTTCGAATGGAAGCTCGCGTCGATAACGATCGGACCAATGTGGATGCTGTTTCAGCGGAAAGACTGCGAGAGTTGGAAGGTAGGGACTTCGAAGGACTACATGGGAAAATTGACAGGTAATGGGGTAGAGGGTGGATGACTACCGCGTATTAGGCAATAGCATGCCTCATGCATTTACACAGTAGGATTAGTTCGATGCGGAGGTTCATAGTCGATGATGAAAGTTAAGGACAGTTCGTCCGCTCATGAGGCAGACTTCAGTATTGTGGAAATTTGGGTATCATCATTTTTGGTTATGTCGATTGCTTCTTTTGATCCGACAAGTCCAGATTGTTGTTGTGGTTATGTTAGCCATGACGAGGCTGTGAGGGAGTTGAAGGAGAAGATAGTTGGGGTGGATCCCTCTGTGGCCAAGTTGGAGCTTGAGCAAGCGGAGTTACTTAGTAAATTCACTGTATTGGAGAATAAAGTCAGCGAAAATGGTGACGCGGTGAGGATCGTGAAGGTAATGTGGGAGGATGGGGGTTCGATCCCTGGTGGGGGCGAATTTTCGATCAATTATTTTTTCCTCACGCAGACGAGTTGGGAGAGCACTGTGAAGCCCACGGTAGATGAGCTGAATGGGAAAGTGAAGGAGTTGACTTCGACGGTGAATGGTGTAGTGGAAGATGTTGAACATGTTAGAAAGGATATCAATCAGAAGGTGATGCGGGAGGTCCCGGGTTCGATTCCTGGAGGGGGCATTTTGTGATATAATTATGAAGCATTATGGCATGTGGAAGGATGATGATCGACAGGATTTTGGTATCTTGTGCATGCGTGCAAATTTTGCAGTATGGAGATTCCCTGTGGTCGGAGATTCGAAGTGCAGTGGAGCGAGTCAGCAAGAAGGAGTTCAAAGAGGTAGAGCAGCGGATTGAATTAAATAGTGCAAAATGGTGAGCCCTGGGGTCGAACCGGGGTCCTTTGGATTACCCACTCACAGGCACGAGAGATCGAAGCAGTTGTTGACGTATACTAGGGATCATATATTAACTGCAGGTACCAGGGATCGATCTCGGGACCTTTGGATTACCAGTTGTTATTTTCTTGTAGTCGCTTGCGAGTTCCATCAGCGCCGACTGCAGCATCATGTGTTTTCGCTTTGGTTTCAATCACAGTGGCAGGCAATACGCAGAAGGGCGGCTCTGAGGAAGGTTGGCAAGGTGAGGGGAAATGTCGCGCGCCACGAAATTGGAGGGATGTGTTGTAGATCTTCCATGAACATCAGCGTGCTGCATTGAGGCGATGGCGACAGAAGGCGGAGTTTGAGGGCTTGCGGGATGGTGTGGAAGTGGAGGTGAGTTGTGGGTGGAGTGGTATGGGATTGGGTAGAATATTTAGGTGAGCGGAGCGAAGCAGGAAGTGGTAAATTTGATCAAGCATGATGTGGCGACTTTGAAGGAGTCTGTGGAGGAAGGGATGAAGTTGAAGGTTGATCGAGAGGAGTTTGAGCTGAGGGAAAGAGGTGGGAAAAGGACTGGGTTTGGGTTTCGTAGTCTATATCGGAGTTTCACCCGTGATATGGTGAACGCTCATGGAAAATATTTCACAATTCACATGTGAGCAGTGAACAACACGTGGCGTGCTTTACGTGATACGGGGTGAATTTTTCGGTGTTATTCGTAAAGTGTTTTCAATTCATATCGCGTTTTTCACATGGAGTATTACACCACCTCACAGTGCTGCAAAAAATGTTCGCTTTCCTCAGCTGAGCTCAAAATTTTCCTCACTAATCATAGGATTTTATATACGGATTAGAAGAATATATACGATTAGTGTAGAGAAAGTAACAAGGATTCTCCAAATTCTCCTCAGAAGCTTCATATTGCCACCAACACATGTGGTTGACAATGCGCAAATTTTACCACACTGCCACCTCACGTAAACGAGTAAAACTTCATTGCATTTTGTATCCCATTGTTATATTGGAGCTTCACGACTACCCGTTTTACGTGAAGTGACGTCGTAATACTCTGTGAAAAACCTGATATTCGCGGTGATATGAAGTAGTCGTGAAATATATTCTGCACCTAATAAGTACAACTCCGCTGTTTTCAAGTCTTCAGACATTTTTGATGTTCATCAGATACCCTACAGCCATTGGAAGCACGCGTGGTAGAGGTGGAGGAATTGATCCGAAATATGCCTAAGGAGTTGCCACCTGATGATGGTATGGGCTTTGCTGCGATATCGAGTTCAGATGGTAACAGTAGTAGAGCTACTAGCCCGAGGGAGGTGATAGAAGGAAAGTTGAGTGAGGTGATGGGTGGGCGTTGAGGAAATGCAAGATTGCAAGATTTCTCAAGTTGGTTAGTTGAGAGATGGGCTGGAGGCGGCGTTTGAGGCGGTGAAGGAAGTGAGGGAGGTGTGGATGCCGAGGGAGTTTGCGACGAAGGAAATGGTGCTACAGTGTACTAGAGGTAATTTTTTATGGGGAAAATTTTTTTTCGAGGGGAAAATTTTTTGAGAAAATACGCACATGGTCAACTGTATGTGTGTTGGTGAGAATATGGAAATTTTTGGGAATTCTTGTTGGTTTCTGAACAGTTCTATTCAAGTTTGTGTGTAAATTTTCTGAGCTCAGCTGAGGAAAGCGAGAAAATGAATTCCTCCAATACTGGAGGAAAGCGAATTTGAAAATGTGATGGTTTT